CCCATGAGGGAGAAATGGTCCCGTGGGCTTGCGAGAAAGGCGGAAATGGTGAATGCAGGGATGCAGAGAGCAGTGTCCTCCACGGCTTTTCATTTCATGTGTTCTTCATATGTTTTGTTACATTTGTTGGGCTCTGATCGTACTGTGGTATCTTTAGGCAATCAGAAAAAAGCTTTTGTCTTTCCTATAGTCTACTTAGTGCTTTATTATTTAGAAAGTCCTGCCTACTTCATTATTGAATAAATATATTTTTCCCTGTTTATGGTTTTAATTCATCTGAAATTGATTTTAGTATATGGTATGAAATAATCTATTTTTAAAAAGGTATCTAAGTTAAGCAATTTACTCAACGTTTTTCAAATAATTCTTTTCCCAATAAATTGTCATCTTTATTATATATTAACCAACCCCCTCTGAGGGGTGAAGCTCATTTTCCTAGAAGGTCAGGCCTGCACCACCACCTTTTCCCTTTCCTCCTCGCTCAAGCTAGTGCTCTTTGTGGTTTGGCTTTCAGCTTTCGTGATACCCTCCAGGTGGGTGGGATGGCCCTCCCTGCCCCTCGGTCCCTGTGCTGGCCTGCTAGAGGTCCCACATGCTGTAGATGCTGTGTGTGTGTGTGTGTGTCTGTGTGTGTGTGTGTGTGTGTGAGCTCCTGAAGGGCAAGTTTGTATTGTTGCATCCTCGGTGTCTAATAGATGGTCAGTACTTTTAAAGAAAGAGTAAATGAAGGTGATAGCTGAATTGTTGCTTTCTAGACAGATTAATATGGAGGTGAAGCACATTCCAAGAGAGCAGTGTCTGTAACACCAACTGAAGCCAATGAGAGGGCACAGCCCACTCTGGAGGCCACAAACAGTGCACCTGAATGTCAGCCTGGAGAGGGCCGTATGGGAGGGCGGGCGACAGGGCCAGACCCCACAGGGCTCTGTGCCTGATCCCTTAGCAGTTGGGATCTAGAAGGCGTGCTAATTGTTGCTCTTCGCTGCCAATAACAGGCTCTACAATCTGATAAGGAAGTTGAGGCCCACCTTAAACTCCTTCTGCAACAAGTAGCCTCACAAGAAGATGTCCTGTTGAGGACAGCAGCCCCGAACCTCAGAGCCTTGGAGAACCTAAAGACTGTCCGAGACAAGTTTCAGGAGTCCACAGATGGTGAACTTTAGCAAGATCATACTCATGGGTGTTTGGGTTTTGATTTCCATAACACTTCTCAGCAACCCCACCCTGGATTGTACATTTGTTTTTATTATATGTATATTTTTCTTTGTTGTCTTATATTAATATGTACTTTTAATACTGAATCACTAATTGCTTCCCTTTTGAAAAGTGTTCTGCTTTAATTAAAAAACAAGTTTATTGGTTATTTTCGAACAGGTAATATATTTTATATTAGCATAATAGGCATATTAGATACTGTATTAGAACTTGTCATTATTTTAAAATTCACCCTATCAGAAAAAGGGCTTGTCAGTTGTAAGAGCCATATTCATGGAGTTAATAATTGAGTTATTTTCCATGTAGATTTTATTCAAGACAATCAAAATCTAATTTAAAAAATAATTTATGCTTTAAAGTTGAAGAGAAGTCCCTCCACGGTCTCTACAGTAAACAACACTGATTCTCTCTTAGCTTTTGAGGCCAGCAGAAAGGAAGCCAGAATGTGTAGGCAAGAGTTTGAACAGGTGAAAAAAAGGAGATATGATCTTTTCAGCCAGTGTTTTGAGCACATCTCAGTCTCAATTGATCAAATCTACAAGAAGCTCTGCAGAAACAACAGTGCCCAAGTATGTATCTTTTTACCCCAAAATGTTAGTAAAAACTTTGTTATTGGTAGTGCTTTTCTGATGGGAAACAAATACCCACCACATTATTTGAGTGACCCACTGACGAAGTCAGCTGATGAAGACTGGTTATCATAATGGCCTGTGCTCGGTCCCCCAATCTAGCATCGCCAGCCTGGACAAGTCCAGATCTCTCTAGTCCTGCTTCTTCACCTGCAGAATGAGTGGGTTCAATCATTTGGTTTTCAAGTTCCCTTTACTTCTGGAATTGTTGTCTGGTCCTAATTTAATTTTCTAGAACTGAAGTGAGGCAGGGTCATGCAGAGGATCTTGGTAAAGGGCTGATCTGGGCTTACGAAGGTGACCTGAGTAACAAAGGGAAGGGAAGAACCAAAGGCCGATTCCAATCCAGTTATGTCCTTTGTAATGGTGGTTTCTGCTGGAAGCACGCCTTCCGTTGTCGAAATCCACAGCAAATACTATGGAGTTGAATGTGGAATAAAGATGTAGATTGGGTCTTAGGTATCTGCTTTACTCTTTCTCATGATGTTCCTTTATGCCTGAGAGCTGATCCTAGAGCGGATATTTAGAATTTCAACCAGAAATAATTTACTTAGTTTCAGTAAAGCAGGACTATAAAAGTCCCATTAACTCTTTGAGGGCAGGATTCATCTGAGTCTACAGTACGTGGCCCAAAATAGGTGTTCCATAAATGGTTAATGAATGGACCAGTGAGTGAACTGAATGAAGACTTTACAGACTGGCATGTGCTGCTGTGGCTTGAATGGCAGTGTGTGGAAGGCCTGGTTCTTCGTGTGTGCTGGAATGCTTTTCCTCTTCTCCCACCCAGACAACCCTGTTGCCTGTGACTGCATGTAGAGCTAAATACATTATTTATAGGCATCGATATTTTTCCCAAAAAATGGAGGAAAACTTAACCGATAAAATATTTTTGCAGTTAAGCCTGTTGCAAATCCAAGTTAAAATATACTAATTGCTTTTCTGATTTTGCTAATTAAGTAACATGTGTTTCAGGCATTTCTTAGCCCAGAGAACCCAGAAGAGCCTTACTTGGAGGGCATTGGCTATAACTGTGTGGCCCCAGGCAAACGGTTCATGCCAATGGACAACTTGTCAGGGGGAGAAAAATGTGTGGCAGCTTTGGCGCTCCTGTTCGCTGTGCACAGGTAAGGCCACCGTGAGCTGTGGGGCTTTTGTATCAGCACAGAAACCAATGGACCTCCTACAGCAGGCATGTCGCGCCACAGGCCTCATTTGGCTCGTGTTAGCCTTTGAGTTTGACATGCTTGTCCTACAGAATCCTGTTAATTGCTTGTCTTTAGTTGTGTTTAGCAGTATGTGAATACAAAACTGTTTTCTCCAGCCAGACAATTCAGGTGATGTTTTACGTCTATAACAATTTAGACAGATAATCTAAGAGAAAATTCAGTCTTTAACAGATTTTTATTAAATTTCCATTATCAGTAGCTACTGATATTTTAGATTTATAGAAAGAAGGAAGAAAAATAAATATTTGGAATAGCCAGATGTGACATCAGAATTGCAAGAAAAACAATAAACAAACCCCAAGCAAACAAAAACACCCAACTTGTATATTATTTTCCTGGTCCACATTTGGAGATCTGCTGTTTAGTAAAGAATGTTAAGCAAAGTGTTTCTTCTGAAAAAAATGTTTCACCTCTCATTTCCACTGATGGTGGCACTGTTCATAAAATCAATCAAGGAAAAGTTAGCCAACATGAAGGCAATTAACTTTCAGCATCCAGAGCACTAGGTGGAGATCTCAGGAGTCAATGCTGCCTCTATCTCATGTCAAGAAGAATATCATGGAAGTTCTACAGCTGGTTTTTATTGATCTCAAGAAGGAAGAGGAATAGGCCATTACAGGAAAGAAATGCCATTAGTGCAGGGGGCTTAGGGAAAGCCGAGCAGGGTCTAACTGGGAGCTTGTGTTGAGTAAATCTTGCCAGAATAAGATGATTTCTAGGTATCACCCCCCCACCCCCTTATTCAACAGATAAGCATCATATATTTACTGTGCCAGGTGGTGGTTAGGCATTGGAGAGAGAGCAGAGAACAAAGCAAAATTCGTCTCAAAGATAACTTCATTCTAGGCGGGGAAGACAGTTGATAAATAAGGTGTATTAACAAATGAATTCTGTAATGTGAGACTATGACAAATAGCAAATGCTGTAGGGAGAAAAATTAAAGCAAGGAATGGAGATAGTAGTAGGGAAGGGTTTGCAATATTAAAGAGAGTCATCCGGGAAGGCCTCTTTGAGAAGGTAACAGTTGAGCAAAGATACAAAGGAATTAGGGGAGCAAGAATGTAGACATAACGATCAGCAAGTGCAAAGGCCCTGTACGGCCAGAGTGAGCCTGGCCTCTGTGGAGAAGAGACTGTGCAGCAGTGGCAGGCATGGGTTAAGTCCCTAACCGTTAGGGAACTAGTGTTGGACCAGGGTGAGAGCAGAAGGGTCATCAGAGACAAGCATGGGGCATGGAGGAGTCGGATGGCTCCAGGGGTTCTGGCCTAATCAGCTGGAGTGAAACAGCTGCCATAACTGAGGACAGGGACACCACAGGGACGGGCAGGTGAGGCGTTTGATTTTGGATGAGTTTGAGCTGTTTATCAGACACCGTGTGGAATCGCTGAGGAAGCTGCTAAATGTGTGCAGTGAGAGTTCGTGGTTCTCAACCTTGGCTGCACATTAGAGTCACCTGGGAATCTTTAAAATCCTGATTTCTGGGCCTCATCCTCCGGAAATTCTCTTTGTTATGGCGTGAGGCCACAACATTAGTAACAAAGAAACAGAATTTCCGGAGGATGAGGCCCAGAAATCAGAATTTTAAAAAGATTCCCAGGTGACTCTAATGTGCAGCCAAGGTTGAGAACCACTGGTTCAGGAGCTCAGAACTCTCAGAAGTGTGGGAGCCATCCACACGTGGAGTCACTTACAACCTTGGGATCAGGTGAAACCACCCAGGGAGCTAATTAGATAGAGGAGCGCTCTGAGCACTGAGCCCCATGGCCACCGGCACCAGCAGTGTTCAACAGAGAGACTAGGAGTTCGCAGACCAGACTGGGAAGGAGCAGTGAGTAAGGGGGGGGGGGGAACCCTGTTACCCTTGGCATCAGAGGAACAGGCGGGAGCACCACCCCAGGCACTACCTGCAAAGGACACTTGGAACACGGACTGAGAATTGATCATTGGATTTAGCAATGTACAGCTCATTGGTGACCTAGACTCCAGCATCCAAGAGGATGTATCTGCATCTGGTTAATCCTCTCCTCTGAGTCTTTGTAAAACCAATGGGAAGTGGTAACCTCTCATTTCTTCCAGTTTCCGGCCTGCTCCATTCTTTGTTCTGGATGAAGTGGATGCAGCCCTGGACAATACGAACATCGGCAAAGTAAGTTTCTTTCTGCATTTAATTTCCAACAAGACGCCTGGAATTCAGTGTACCCTGAGCAAAAATTGTTCGATAACTGTTGGTTAAAAATCAAATCTAAATTCAATATCTACAAGCAACATGGTTCAGGGGGATCCATTCAAGATTTAGGGGAGCCTCAGAGTTGGGGAATCTGCATGGAGTTGAGGGAAGATTGCGGTGCGAGCCTCTCCTGATCTAGAGGTTGGGACCTTAGGGTCACTAATAGGGCCCGTGGCGAACAGGACCAAATCAGTTTAATAAAGCCCAAAACTAACATCTCTAACTAAAATGTCAGAATTGAAGTTCAAAACTGTACCCCCCCCCCCTTATACTTATTAACATTTATCCAGTGGCTGCACTTGTGCGGGATCATGTTTTCAGTATTTAAGACAACGAGGGACTAAGGAAACAGCTAGCTCTTGAGAGTCCAGTCTCAGGTCAGCCTTGACGATCAGTGCATAGACACACAGCCACCTGGAGAGGCTCTCAGGCCACACTTCTTGACATGAGAGTGGTTCAACCATGGACGCATGGCCAAAGGACAGAGGCAAATACTGGCAGGACCCATCACTCCCCAGGGGAGGGGTCCCTCTGGCCCGCAGACTCCTTCCTGCAGAGAAAACCCACTTCTGAGGATGGATGACGAGACTCCTGCTTCTCCTTCCAGGCGCGTCCTTCCTCCAGAAGCGGCTGGGCTTTGCATTCACAGCTGCTGGTTGACCAGGAGGCTGCCCTGGTCCTGCCGACCGATGTAAACTGGCACCCTGGTTTACACCTTAGTCCTGTGAGCTTGGTTAAAGAGTCCCCCTTTGAGAGATGCACCTGATCTTGGGGTGCCACTCAGGTTCTGAGTCTCTGAAGCTGACCTCCCTGACTTCTCTTCCGAGTCTCTCTGGAAGGCTTGGGAGTGAGGACTTCCAGGAGCTGCAGTCTGAGGCACCTTCGAGTGGCATGAAGGTTGCCTCAGCATTCCCAAGGGGCACTCGTCTAACCCACCTCTCTGGGAGCCTGCTCCCTGGACATGTCAGAGTGGACATAGAACAGCACAACTTCAGACCCACACTGGTCCCTGGACCTTGTGGGGGATAGGCAAGAGCCACATGCTGTGCCCTGCGAGACTGTCGGAGAGAAGAATGCTAGGAACAGAGAACACCTCGAATGCCAACCAGTCCGCATCAGCTGCCTGGACTCCAGGCCCACCTCATTTGGGAGAAATCGCCCCTTTGATGCATGTGGGCACTTTGTGTCCCCTCTTCTGTTAGGGGGGTGAGGGGACGTCTTATTTCGGTAGGCTGCATCTTCAGTGGCACTTAGGATGTCCGTATCTTCTTGCAAAATTCAGGGGTATTCATGGTATCCCCTGGTACTAGGTCTAACATAAGACCTGTCATCACCTGTCCTGTGTATTAAAAGCCTCTTTGCTTCCAGTTTCCCGTAGGGGTGTGCGCTCCTGGCACCCCACTGCGCCCTCAGGGGGCAGTTTTGTAGTATGAACAGCTAAGCAGCAGCTCCACCGCTGCTTGTGATCAGGTTGCCCAACCCTTACCCAGGCAACTCTGCAGGCAAAACGCACGCCCTGCGTCTTTGCATCCTCCCTCTTCCGTCCGGTCAGTATCCTGGGACTCAGTCCTGCATCGGGATGACTACTGTGCCCCTCAAGCTGGAGTTCCTTCTCTGAGTCAAAAGCAGTTTCCCTCCTCAGGGTTCAGCTCCCTAGTGACTCACTCCTCCCTGAAGCTCACCTTTCCTGCCTCCGGCGTTGCGTCCTTAGCATCGCGGTGCAGCCAGGACCAGGGCACACGGAGAAGCCCCCTCCAGGCAGGGAGAGCGGGAGCTGGAAGCGTCTCAGTGAGCTGTGGCTTGGGTCCTAGGTCACCACCCTCCAGGCTCTGAGCAGGTGCTCACTAAGACCCATTTCTGTGCAGACTATTCTGTTCTGCTCGGTCCTGGGCACTAACCGTCCTGAAGAAGCCACCTCCCCCCACATGACTGGGTCATGAATACAGCATTGCCATGGCTTCCCTCTTTCAGGCTTTGAGTTGGCAAAATAGGAAGTTGGAAGTTTAAATACCAGCCCTTCTTCACCCTCATAAAATATCTGAGTGGTAGTTCTTATACTGTTAATAAAGGCTTTATTTATACCATATTGTAGATAAGGTAGAATTTTATCCTTAAAAATATTCTTAAAGTTTTAGATCATAGGTTTAGAGGTATCTTTCCTAACCTCTTATTTTAGACTCCGAGCTATTTCTGTGGTTGGAGTGGGTTTACCAAATTACCAGGGAGGCAGTAAGTTCTGTCACCTAAACGGGCAAACAGCCCGCAGAATCACTGTCCCCAGGCCCAGAAACGAGCCTTCCTTGCTGGTGAAGTGTGTGCTTTTTCCTTCCTCCCAGGTAGCGAGTTACATCAAAGAGCAGACTCAAGAACAGTTTCAGATGATAATCATCTCCCTCAAGGAGGAGTTCTATGCCAAGGCTGACGCCCTGATCGGCATCTACCCAGAGGTAAAGATGAGCACCCTTCCCGTCCTTTCTTCCTGGAGACTGGAGATACTGCTGGGTTTCTGCAGTGATAACTACAGGCTTACATTATTTTTTAATTAAATAAGATTAAAAGTAACTATTCAGGTATTTTTCTGTGACAGTACAAAGAGATTTAAGATCTGAAAAGGCAAATTGAAAATTACAGAATTTTCTTTATAAAATAAGAGCATATTTACACAAAGTAAGAATATTGTATTCCTATTTCTGTAATGTTTGAATGTTTTAGGCAAAAGCAAATATCATTGTGGTAGAACTAATAAGGAACCATTTATCTTCCAAAAATACCAGAGGGAAAAACAAAGAAATTGACTGAAAGTTCCAAGTTGTATAGTAACTTTTAGAAGTGAACAAATCTTTCTTAAGCTATTCAAAATACTCGAGGTAATGGAGGATTTCTGATCATTCCATTTTTGGACAATGAGTTGCTAAGATAAAAATTTCCCTTCCTGTGCCTACAAATTGTTAGGGGACCACTGGAGAGATGCTGCAGTAGAGAAATGAAAATTCTCACACGGGGTGAGGGAGGAAAACAATCTAAACAGTCTGCCCACCATAGCGGCTCTGGCTGGGCCTGTAAATCAGACTGGCAAGACAGCAAAGCAAGCAGGAGCATCATGGCGAGTAACCCAAAGGGGTGGCCAGAACTTGGGCTCCTCTCCAGTCTTAGGCTGAAGTGAGGAAAGGAGCGGGGGGAGCGGGGGGAGAGGTGGAAGGTGACCAGGAAAGCAGGTGAACAAGCCAGGTTTGCTCTGCAGATCACACAGGTGCCTTTCGTTGACAGCAGTCGTTAGAGTAGGGAAGGTGTGAATTTAGAAAAGCGGGACTTGTGGCCAGTGTTTAGAGCTTTTCCTGCATCTCAGTAGCTCCAACAGTCCATATGCCAGAGCCATATTTTGGCGTGGCACATCCTGATACCCTGTCCAGGTCATACAGAAATGAGCTAATAAAGCTGATGTAAATGCAAGCCATTGATACCTTCTGAGTGGCCATACCATACGTTTCCTTTCAAATGCAAGTCCAGATTCACTACTGGCTCTTGTTTTAGGCTTAATAGCACCTTTTCTTTCGTAGAAGGACTAACTTAGCTGTCTGCTCTCCATTTCAGCACGATGACTACATGTTCAGCCGAGTTCTGACTTTAGATCTTTCTCAGTATCCAGACACTGAAGGCGAAGAAGGCAGCAGGAGACAGCGAGAGTCCCGCTAGGGTCCGAGCGCCCCGGCGCAGCTGCCGGCTCTCAGAGCGGATGAGTTAGCTGTGGTCAGGTCATCACTGTTCAGTTCTCACTCTAGTGTTCAAACTGTTGAGTAACCAACTTCTGGAGCCAGCCAGCCTGAGTGCCATCTGAGAAAGCTGAACCGTTACCAGCAAAGGAGCTGCTGCTCACTTCCGTTCGGAGTGTTTAGGCCCCGCTCCCGCTCCCTTAGGGAAAGTTTCCTGGAAGAGTTAGCTTTGAACGATTAAAAAAAAGGTACAATTTTGTTACCATAGTTTCACGTTCCATTTTGAAGCCCAGCCAGAAAAATTTTGAATTCTCCATCTTCACTCTGGTCTTGCCTTGTCCACTGAAGGAACGTTTAAAGGATAGTCTTGGTTTCTGAATATCCTAGTTATCGGGTGTTGAACCTGGGTTTTGAGAAATTATTTCAGAGGAACTGATGTATGAAAATATCAATAAAAATATTCTAATTTCAAATGTTTCCAATTTACAGTTTTATAAACAAAAATTTTAAGGTGAAACTGAATTATGTCCGCTTAATGCAATCTGCATTTTCTAAATGTAATTTCTGTTCAGAAGGAAATGAACAGACTTTCCCAAGTAACAACGGACTTTGCCATGTCAGTGCATTGTTCCAGGTGGGAAAGAAAGTCAGCAGGACTTTACTTCCCTCTCAGGACGGACAGAACATTCGGAGGTGCTGCTGTCTAGTGGAGACTGCGTGGGGCCCAGGTGCCACCAAGGGGTAGCTCCTGAAGTAGCGGACTCGCTTTCAAACTACACTCACGTTGCATATACAGGACGCGCTGTGCCAGGCGTGAAGTCACAGCCTTGCTCCCTGCTCACAGCTCCTCTGTGAACTGGACAACAGAGACCACTCGGCCTCCCTGTGTTCCTTGTTTCAGTGCCGGCAATAGCACCTCAATCTCCGACTTTCCTGCCTTGAAAGACATCAGCTGAACACTGTCATGTCCCTTCAGTGCCATCAGAGCTGTGGCCCCTTCCTCTTCCTGGGCTGCCCGTTCTCATAACTTGGACTCAGGCAGCAGGTCCTCAGGCAGCATCCTCGCGTTCCTGAAACCACCTTCTATGCAAACCACCACGCAACAGGAAGCGGGCTGGAACACCACACTCCAAAAACAAAATAGGAACCTGATAACAGCTAGTTTACACACATTACATGGTTAAGAACCACACAAATATAGCACACGTGGCACTTTATCTTGAAAATGCCCAGAAGTCGGCTTGTGTAGTGGGCATCGCCGGGTCCAGTGGTGGAAGGGTAGTTGACCTAGTTTCCCACGGACAGAGCCTTACATAAGCAAAGCAGGTGGGCGCAAACTGTTCCTCATTCGTCAGTCATGTTGCTTTAAGTCTGCATTTTACACAAGCGTTACGGCAGAACTGACTACAGACAGGCTCACTCCTCACGGCAAGGCCTCCGCCCTGGCATGGCACTCGGAGTGGCACTCGGAGCTGGTCCTGAGCGGGGCCCTGCCACACTTCCAGGCTTCCCTCCTTCCACGTCACTTTCCCGTGTCTGCCCAACCTTCAGACACATCCATCCCTGATCGCACTTTTGTGAGTCTTTAAAAAAACAATGTCTAATGTTTGCTTTTCAAACACTAAACACATTCAAGTAATCACTTGATTTCACAGCTGAGTGGCAACTCATGGTAAAAATCCTCATTGAATAAATTAAAACAAGCCTTGTCATAACTGGAGAAAAGTTGAGCACACAGAGTTGAAGTGAAAGTTTTATGACCAGAGTAGCATAAAGGAGTTGTTTTTCATGCTTTCGAAAGCAAAGGTCTTAGCAGGTCCAGCTCATCTCTGCCTACACGTCCCAACCTAACATTTCTAGTTCTTTGTGCCTGTGGGAGCTCCAGCGCCATCAGTGGGGAGTGTCATCATGCTTGGCAAGAAGTGTCACATGAAAGTAGGCAGCCTCTAAAGCAGACTGAGCAGGGCCTTTGCCAGTCACAGAGCAACCACCCACCTCACCCTCTGCACCCTCTGCCCCAGCATTGCCAGCAGCTGAGCACCTGACAGCGGGGAAGCAAGACACGGGTGCGGCAGCCCCTTCCCCAGGCCTGCCTGCCTCACGCTGTGCCCCGTCACGTGCCATGGCAGAGAACGCTGGGAGGTGAGAGACTTGGAAAGCTTGGGATACTCTAACTGCAAGTTTAAAACCTGCTCTGCTCCACTCGTAACTTCTCAGTCATCAGCCTCAAGGCGGACTTGCCCCGCCCCGCACTGCACCGCTGGGAAGGCCCTCTGCCCTGGCCGGCGGCTCAGTGAGTTAGAGCACCATCCTGGGCAGAAGGGTGAGGGTTAATCCCTATTAAACGTACTAACGGAAGGCAACCAATCAATGCTTCTCCCTGCCTCCCTCCCTCTCTATAAAAAAGAAAAGGCCTCTGGTTCTTCGTGAGGACGCTCTAACGCCTCAGGGACGGACCGGCCATTCTTTGGAACTAAGTTACTACAATTACAGCATTCCAAAGAAGCCCTACTGATCCAGACATTCTTTTAAAAGACATATCACTCTCACTGGCAGATTCAACACCTCGAATGTTCTTTACTTAACAACGTAACAAACATACCTTAAAAGTTTTTTCTATGGTAACATGTTTCCGCATAAAAATTATAAAATTTAAGAGTCTAGTTTCTTTTCTCTTTGGCAACTACTGTTGCTTGTAGTCTCCACTGTCCCCTTTATTAGAAAGCCCACCTGACCACGGGCGTGTCGGGGAGCCCGGAGCACCAGGCCCCTCCCTTCCCGCCGTCGGGCCCTGAGGTAGTTGTCCGCCAGTCCTCACGGAGGATACCTGAGGTGTGCGCTTCACCCCGAGCAGTTAGACACACAGTGGGACTGTCCCCCCGCCTCCGCGGCCACACCCCACAGGGCTCCCGTGGGGTACATGACGGTCAGCAGTGAGAGGTCGTGTGAGTCCTCCAACATTCCTCATCGTCCGCTACGGCACTGTGGTCACAGAGGCTGGTTTTCAAGTTGCAGGTTTGTCGGTTTTAAAGATTTCAAGATGCGCCAGCATCGTCTGTTTAAACAGAAAGAAAGGAATACAAGATGTGAGATTCAGCTCGAAAAAGTATTTGCCATAGGATTTCTATTCCAGAAAACTTTCAGTTTTTCTCATGTGCTGAAGACTCGGAAAACGCCTCCATGCTGGGAGCAGTAGCCACTGTCCAGAAATGGCTTTGTGCTGGAAGCACCCCCCGGGCACTGGGCTCTGTAAGAGCCGTGGAAACCGCCCGTGAACGTGGTGCTCCTCCCTTCGTAGGGGCAGAGGCGGTGTCAGCACATGTGATGGCGCCTGGTCAAGTGCAGACAGAAGCGGCCGTGGCAGGGGGAGCCCGCAGCTCCCCCTCAGCTCTCCCGCCTGCGCAGGACGGCCCGCAGCGCAAAGATGAACCTGGACCTCACCCACAGGCAGGACAGGCCAGCTTCCTGCAAGAAAGAGACCAAGGCCTGCCGGGCAGAAGCTGCTGGGAGAAGCAGGCTGTGGACGCTGCCGGCTCACACCCTGTCCACCAGCAGAAAGCCTGCGCCTGCAGCACCCCGCTCCGAGTGCCCCCCATGCGAGAAAGGCTGTGTGTTCACAGCAGCAGCAGAAACCCACGGTCCAGCGAGACCACCACTGGGCCGGCCTCTCAAACATCTGTGGCCCTGAAGACGCCGCAGGAAAGGAACACTGGCCACAAGGACACAACTCGAAGACACTAGTCTTATTTGATTTTATTCAGTCTCCACGAGCTGAATTCACAACCCATAAGACCGCAAAGAATTTATCCAAAATGCTATCACGGAGGAACGCTCCCTCTAGCGGCCGCACAGTGACATTCTACTAAGTGCCCTGAATGTGTACCAAATAGAGGAGAGGCCATGGGGTCTACTGTCCTCCATGAGGTCCCCAGCGCCCGCTCTCCTCCACCCCCCGAGGGACAGAAGACCATCCACTCTCCAGCCACCACCCACCCTGCAAGCAGCCAATATCAACAACTGCCGTGCTTGTTGACTTCCTCTGGTTGAGTGTCATTTGCATCATTATGAGCCTTTACATCTACAACAGACTATTCAACAGTACGTGGTCCCTGTGGCGTAGAAGGAAATGCAGTGTCGCAGTGTGGCTCCGACACACATGGGGGGAGTTTAAATGTGAAATAAATAGGCAACTGACGGGGCACATGCTGTGGAGCTCCAGGTTCCTGTGGGTTACTGTGCGGTGTTTAGAGTGTTTTACTGAAATTCCTATAAAGTAGTAAGAAATAAACTGTTACCTGAAAACCCGCCCCACCAATGGGGTTTTCAGAGATGGAGTGAGTCAGGTACCGAGGGAAGCCTCTGCTTTCTTAGAGACCTGAGACGGCATCACAGTCCTAACTAACAGATGCTGAGGCAGAACAACTCAGAACACAACAGCGCCTGGAAACTAGCCACCATGCTGTCAGAATCACTGAACCCAGAGGCGAAGGTAACTGGAAATCTCGCAGAAAGATTTTTGAAAAATGGAGACAGAAAATGAAAACAAATACGTTACAGGAGTGGACAGTAGAAATCAGCAGTGGACAGCAGTGTGAATCCAAGAGGGGGAAGAAGACGGGCATAACCAAGGAAGCCACAGATTGTTCCAGAAGGGAGACGGGGAAATGGAGCACAGCATACAGAAGAATCCACAAAAACACCCTCATGGAATTCAACACCAAGTGCCCAGACAGGCCGCCACAGAGCACTGGGAACGGGGTTGCACCAGACCCTCTTCGACAGGAAACCTGGGCGCCTAAGACAGCAGTCACCCTTGGGTGGTGGTGGGGTGACTGAAAAGTGGGGGGGGGGGGTTCCCAACACTGCTCTGTGTCTGGAACCGGATGGGATACGAGGGTGTATTCACCTTGTGAAAATTCACTGCTGACCTCACATGTTCTCTACGTGTTTTTTCAGCAACACGTTAATGTAAATGAACACAAGTGTCTGGAGTGGGTCCCTCGGGCAGTTGGAGTGACACGCATCTCTCCTCCCTCCTCCCGGACAAGGGCAGTGAGCGGCAGCGCCGGCCCCACCCACAGGCAGGCCCCCTGGAAGCCTGGGTACCTGAGGGCCGGAGCTGCTTAGAAGCTTCAATTCCGTTCTCCTCCAGCTTCCTCTTGGCGCAGTCCTGGCACCCGCTCCCTGCGAGGAGGAGACGCTCGTTAGAAAGCTGCTGCTCCACGCCCTCCACGGAGGCCGCACCCCCTCAGCCAGGGGCTCTAAGGGGCTCCTGCTTTTTCAGGAGGCGGCGCTGGAGGCCGTGGAAGGGAGACAGCAACACAGCGTGTCCCGCACAGACGCAGGGGAGCGGGAAGCTGAGCACAGACGTCCCTGATGTCGTTCCTGAGCTGCTGTGATCCCGAACCGCTTTCATTCCTGAACTGAGCCCACCACTCGCAAGATCCGTGTCTGGGCCGCTGAGCCCAGCGGTAGGGAGGCGGGGGCTGCACATGGAGGCCCGCTCCCAGCTGAGTCTCTTCTGACCCACAAACTGCCCAGCGTGCAGGCCAGAGCCCCACTCACCCCAGGAGGCTGCGGGCAGCCAAGCACACGTGGCCACCTCGTGTATAGACAGAGGCAGGCAGAGTGGAGCAGCAGAAAGAGCATTTGCATTTCAAACACGTTAAATAGAACATTTCCTACGAAAGCTTAGAACCTTTGCAGTTAAACTTCTGAAGGGGACGGGCCATGACCACCCCTCAGCTGATGCCCTGAGCCCGGCTGGGGGACAGGAGTGTCCTCGGCCGTGTTCCACTACACTGTGCTCCCGGCGGAGGGGGGCGCTGTCGCCCCTTCCCGGTGGCAGGCCTGTCCTGGCACTACTGTGTCCTCTCAGGCCGGTGTTTAATGTGAGGACGTGTCTATGATTTACAAATAGCGGCAGGAAGACAATGGAACGTGTAGGCAAAACCAGGCGGATGAAATCCCAGATGCGCCTTACCCAGCGTGGTGCTGTCCGCTCGGTCGGCATCTGGAAGAAAGGAAAACGGTCAGAGACGGAGCCACCTGCGCCCCTCCAGCTGCAGGGATGGTGAGGCTGCTGCCCAGCGTGACCACCGTCAGCCCCAGGCTGGTTAGGGTCCTTGCTCTCCACCTCCCAGGGGCCACACATGAAGCCCCGGCCCTGCAGGGGGCAGGGGTGGCACCGCTGTCAGTTTCTGTCCTCACCGTGTGCCACCCTCCCCAGCCAGGAGAGGCACCTCACAACGCAGGTACAGATGTCCCTGAGGCACAGACTGCAAGGCCCCCGGCGCTCCGGGAGCCGAGCGCATGCAGGCTCACATCAGGTCCTGGTGCCCGGGGCCCGGGGCCTGTGCGTGCGGAGGCGAGAGGTGGCGGTCAGGGGCAGAGGTGGCGAGAACGCCATCCCTCTCCAGAGCCATCAGAGCCTGCTCAGGGGCACGGGAGGGGGACGGGTCCCCCTGCTGAGTCCAGGACCCCATCCCAGCTTCAAAACACCTGGGCGCAGCCAGGCACACCGTTCACTCCTGAGCTCAGCCCACACCTATAATCAGCTGCTGGCCGCACTGGGGACCGTGAGTAAACGGGAATAGGGTCACAAACGTGAACTTCACAGCCACGGGCCACAGCGCAGCTCCCTGCTCCTCGGTGAGAAACCGGCTCTTCCGTCGGTCAGCTCGACTCAGGGCACAATGGCACCGCCCTCAAGCGGCCCACTTTGCTATTTACAGAAAGGGCTGGTGGGGAAACTCGGGTGCGGGACGGCGCCATGGTCTCGGCGACTCTAGTCCTCACAGCGGGTCCCATCTGCCACCATCCCCGTGCTGTGCCCGAGGCCGTGTGGGGGCCTGCGTTTCCTGTTACTCTTCAACGACAGCCAATACAGACTCTTCCAGTCGCGTCATCCATGATTTATAAGACTCCAAGCCGGCAGCTGCCCTGTGTCAAGCTGACCGAGGTAGGAGTCGCTCTGCAACCTCGTCACTCCCAGCAGGTGAGCACCTCCCAGGAGAAGGGCCAAGGAGAGGCAGTTAACGAGCTCGGAAAGGCGTGATCTGAATGAAGCCGTCGTCCTGGGCGCCCTCTGCCCGCCGTTCTGTGAAGGACAGGCGTGCATCTGCGAGATGTGCTTTCCGTCCCGGGCAGCTCCTTGAAGCGTGGCCTCTGCACCTGAGCGGGTGTGTGCGGCTCCATGCACAGCTGTCGGCTCCGCAGACCACACTGTCACCCGGTCCTCCATGATTAAAGTACACGGGGCCAGTTTCTTCCTCTCTGTAAAAAATCAATAAAATATATTTAAAAAAAAAAAAAGAGCTCAAAAAACATCTCCGTTTTATTTTGTGGTGTGTAGATTATATCTAAAAAAAAAAAAAAGGAAACGCTGGCAGGCCCGTGGTTTTACGCGGAGAGTGAAGGCTGCGTACCTGGGCTCCGCTGCCGGCAGATCTGCGTGGCCAGGTCCTGCACGTACCCCGGGAAGTGGTCGAAGCAGGCCCCGTAGGACACGACCTTGATGCCGTGCAGCAGCATGTCGGCCTGGTGCTTGAAGAAGTGGTCCTCGCTCTCCTTGAGCACCACCATGTAGTGCTCCAGGTCCACCTTGTTGGGCACCGAGTACAGGAAGAGCGCCTGGAAGATCTGGTCGCGCAGGGTCTCCCCGCAGCCCACGAACAGGAAGGACCTGGTGCGGTACAGGCTCTGGAACACCTCCTGGGAGACAACGGGGCATGAGCCGCTCGGCTGGCGCTCAGCAGGACCCGGCCCACAACTGCCTTCCCCAGGGCCCCTGAGGAACGGGCAGAGGCAGCCCTGTCTCCAGGCCCAGGCAATGTCCAGGTGACATGAACCGAAGTCAGCACAGCCTGCAGCCCACCCTGCCCACCGATTCTGAGCTGAGTGCCCACTCAATGCAAATTTTCTAAAATCGTGTACAATTTTAAAACACAAAATAAGGACATGAAATGTTGCCGTTCAGAACTGCACATGCCACGCCCGGGAATTAACGTGTCTCAGTGGATCATAGACAAACTTTGGGGGGGCAGGAGGCTGGCATCAGGGCAACAGGGTTTGGGGAGTGAGGGCAGCAATGCTGAGGGGGGACCAGTGACAGCGACCCAGGGGTGGGCACAGGGAAAGACAGACTGTGGAGTTACTCGGGCCTGCAGCGGGGCCCGATCCCAGTGTGGGATGTGTAGGAGGCGGCCGATCAATGCTTCTCTCTCATTGATGTTTCTATCTCTCCCTCTCCCTTCCTCTCTGAAATCAATAAAAATATATTTAAATGAAAGGAAGAAAGGGAGAGAGGGAGGGAGGGAGGAGCAGATGGACAGAGAGAGCAGTGGCCAGAGAACAGCATCACAGACCCTGCGGGTCTGCACATCAATCGGAAGAAATTCAACTGCGTCCCTGAGCCGGCGCAGGACAGCTGGGGGCGAGGAGTCAGGATGGACCCGCTGTAAGGAGCCCTCACCAAGCGCCCTCTGAGCACCTGTGCGCATGGCATGCCCGGGCCCTGGACCGCGCAGGGCGGGAGGCAGGCCCATCCCTGCAGCCCTGAGGTCCCGAAGGGCAGGACTGCCTGGAGGTCTGGAAACCAGGCGGCTGCCAGCAGAGTCCCAGGGGCCGTACCATCACTTCCGGGTCTTGCGTGACGTCCTTGTATCCCGAGGGGTCCAGGACCATCCCACAGGGGTCCGTGTAGAGGCCGTGGATGTGGAGCACTCCGTACCTGATGTGCCCTCGTGCCCACTGGAGGACCTGCCAGACATCGAGCGACAGACGGAGGAAGCTGGTGTCACTGGAAACGGCGTGAGGGAAACCCCTAACCGGGATTCGTGGTCTTTCACACCCACTTGGAAAGAGTGAGGTGTCTGCACTGCTTGTACCAGTGGTCGGCAAACCCGGCTCTCGAGCC